GAACAGCATACAATAAATCCTTCCCCCAATAATGAGACGACACTTCACTTTGAGGGTTAAAACAGGAACTACCTGTACTGCCACATACAGTCTCTTTTATTCCCAATCCACAAACATAGTACAGCCCACAGGGCGTTACAAAACAGCCAATCAATCCATACAATACACCCAGACACTCCCACACAAAATCCTCCCCTCTGGCTGTGATATGATTACTGAACACAATGGGTAATCTAATTATCACAGCCAGAGAAATACAGTTTCATAAAACACATCACAGGGACCCCAAAACATGCAATAACCCCATAAAAAGTATATATATATATCCTTGGAACTGGAGGATCTGGGTGAACCACATATCCAAAATTCACCCAGATCCGTTCAGTACTTTGGAAAATACAGTTTAATGCAGATTCTGCAGAACATATACAGGCTAAATAAAAAACAATCACTGTATAATGTGTCCCCTGCTGTATAGTCCAAAACCACCGCACGATGTCTCTGTGCAACAAATACTGGCGAGATGGCACCGTGTTGAAAAGTCCACACAGTGTCTGTGAGTTAAAATGGCCGCCATCCATTGTTCTCACCATGTGCTTCTGATACAGGAAATGGTGGCCACCCAGTAACTCCACAGTATGTCCCCAGATGGTTCTTAAAAGGGCCAGCAGCAGCACAACACAAATCCATTATGCCCAAATCATGTCTTTAAAGGGCAATACATCCCAGGGGCCATAGTCACATGGCAACCAGGCTTCTCCAGTGCATAGTGGCGAGGTTGGTTCCGCCACAGTGTATATGTGTTTTCTGTGTGTAAATGTGTGTTACTTGTGTGTGTCTCTATATGTATATGTTTCATCTGTGTGTGTGTGTGCAATTTATGTAAATGTGTTATCTCTGTGTGTATGTGTGTCAGTGTGTGTTTATATGTGCATATTTGTGTGTGTATATGTGTGCATCTGTGTGTAATATATGTTTATGTGTCAGTATGTGTGTGTATCTGTGTGTATTTCAGTGTGTATGTGCCAGGGAGTGTATGTGCATACATTTTAGCAAACAAACACTGACTCTACCTGCAAACACATTCATACACAAACACTAAACACAAGTACATCACTGCTGTCAAATAGCAATAGTGCATACAAACATACAACTGCATTCAAATGCCAACACTGCACACAAATACATACATTCAAACACTGCTTACAAATACAGGTCTGCAAGGATGGATATATGGCTAATCCCCAGATGGAAAAGCAATGTGGAAATTGTACGACAGATGGGGATCTACATTTTGGCCATTCTTGAGCTAGAGGCGGATCAATAAAACATTTCTTGCACCAGGGCCCTCTCTATATTACTACACATATTCCAAAAGGATTCAATGGCTGACTATATATTATAGGCTACAAAGGCTGCAATATTGTTTGAACATTCACTTGTGCCTCTAAAAATGACTTAATCTTATAAGCATCTTGTTGAGATTTTGGTGACTGAATATGTCTTTCTTGGTCAACGCAGTGGTGACAGCTGACACCAAGAGAACTTTTAAACTTTATTTCCTAGAGAAAGTGATACTTGAGGTACCTTTATCCTCAAGTGAGAAGCATAAAAGTGCACAATTGGGGACACAACAATAGACCACCACACATTATAGAAAAATAAATACTGTAACCAATGCAGCAAATTTTTCACTAAAATGCCTCAAAAAAGATGTAGAGCATTACATATCTACTAAGAATAGCTTTTTTTTAATGATTTGTTAACATTTTCTAATATTAATGCCACTAATCTTTAAGCCTGGATTCCAATATTGTTGATTGGGTAAGGCAGTGGCTGAGTGACAGGCAATAGAGGGTTGTAGTTAATGGAGTATATTCGAAGCTTGGACTTGTCACCAGTGGGGTACCTCAGGGATCTGTACTTGGACCCATTCTCTTTAATATTTTTATTAGTGATATTGCAGAAGGTCTTGATGGTAAGGTATGTCTTTTTTGCTGATGATACAAAGATATGTAACAGGGTTGATGTTCCAGGAGGGATACGCCAAATGGCAAATGATTTAGGTAAACTAGAAAAATGGTCAGAATTGTGGCAACTGACATTTAATGTGGATAAGTGCAAGATAATGCATCTTGGACGTAAAAACCCAAGGGCAGATTATAGAATATTTGATACAGTCCTAACCCAACATCTGAGGAAAGGGATTTAAGGGTAATTATTTCAGATGACTAAAAGAGAGGCAAACAATGTAATAGAGCAGCAGGAAATGCTAGCAGAATGCTTGGTTGTATAGAAACATTGAATGTGATGGCAGATAAGAACCATTTGGCCCATCTAGTTTGCCCAATTTTCTAAATATAGGTAGAGGTATTAGCAGCAGAAAGAGGGAAGTGCTCATGCCATTATACAGAACACTGGTGAGACCTCACTTGGAGTATTGTACACAGTACTGGAGACCATAGCTTCAGAAGGATATTGATACTTTGAAGAGAGTTCAGAAAAAACCTCTTAAACTGGTTCATGGATTACAGGATAAAACTTACCAGGAAAGGTTAAAACGCAAAGTATCCCGGCAAAGGCGACACTGAACATACCAGAATGGGAGAACACACTGGCACCGATGGCGAGTTGCAAATCCGGTAAAAAACCCAGTGAGGGGAACCTGTGGATCGCAGACATGCTGACAGTATAGAGGCTAATGTGCCCAAAGATGGCGGCGGCTCAGTGCGGGAGGCCTCCCCTGGCTTCCAGGGCTCAATAGACTCTGAATACTAACCACAGACTGAGTCACAGGGAGCAATCCTCCGGTCCCTGTTGGAAGTGAGTGCTTTCTGGCGGCCGAGATTGAACACTCAGGTAACGAGGTGAAGGTCGAAATGCAGGCAGTAGGCCAGTGCACAGAGTCTCTGGAATTGCTGATGGACCACATGGTGACAGCCTACAATGAAGCAGCCACAGTCACAAACAATTTACTCACCAGAGTGGCAGAGCTGAAAATGGAATAGAACAGATCCAGACACAATCTGCAAATAACAAAGCGCAGCTACCTGACATACCTGAGCACCTCTGGACTATTGATAGGGGACGCAGAGCACTGAGGGCAAGAGGACCCCCAGTGGTTCCCCAGAGATGTGATCATGTGGTGGCACTTCTTCTCTACAAAAGAAGCGATTATGAAAAGCAGTAGGAAACATGGCTATGACTATGAAGGGTGCCCACTACACCTGTACCAGGACATTGCCCCAGCTAGACTGGCAAGAAGACGGGAGTGGAAACCAATAGCGGATCTGGTAATTTCTAACACAAAGGAAGACATATGTATGGAGGGCCAAACCCCAGCTGTAAATGGCTACGAACTGATTGTTTTATTATTTTCCATAGGTAGGTACACACCAATCTGAGATAAAACCATTAAAAGGCGAAGGGCGGGGCGGGCACTAGGACTATCTGGAAGTGTCATAATGTATATGAAAATTCACTTGTATGCAAACATGTAAATAACAATGAATGAAAATATTGTAAGAGACCATGTGCTTATTCAATCTGTACAGTATGTAGTGTCTGAAAACCCTGTGATCCAGCCTACACAATAAATAAAGAATTTAAAAATAAAAAAAGAATAGACGGGCCAAACGGTTCTTATCTTTCGTAACATTAAATGTTTCTATATTTCTAAAAAAGATCTAACTTACATGAGAAGACGTGGAAGCACAGGCCTCGGTTGACACTGATGTGCATTGTAAATATACACACATAATACAAAAAAGACAAATAGATTTTCTTTAGCTAATGCAGAAAGTAGTCATAATGTTTCCATCGAGAACAATATAGTACTAAGTTCAGAAATTTAGAGTCTATGTTAGGAAAACAGCATTTTTATTGTCCCAAATTCTCCAATCAAATTATCTCTATAAGAATCACTGTTAGACAATTTTCATGATTCATAAACATTTTTTTCCTGCTGTTTAAAATACTTACCCATTCGTAAACTTTGAATAATTCTCCATGGGTGTTTCTAAGCATGGATCTTTACAGACAGTTGGGGAAGTTGTTTAAGATATCAGCTTAACAGAGAATTGTTGATACTTTGCTAATAAATGTAAAAGGCCTGTGTTCATTGTTTAAGTTTCAATTCGGAAAATGCATTTTATCACTATGCGCAATATGGGAATTTAGTAAAATAGATGGAACGTTAAGAGATTTCTCTTTTTGCGCTTTATATGCACATTTTAATAGTCGATCATGAGAATGTATCAAAGATTAAATTATAGCATATAAGTCTTTTTAAACCTCAAAGGCATCTTCTTTTAGGACATTTTAATAAATGGATCCTTTCTCGAATGGATATAATTTGCCAGCAATGGTACAATTGCCTTCTAAATGAGTAGCTAAATTACCTGTGAAATAACAACGTATGTTTGCTGCAAAGTAGATTTCCCCGAAATGGCAGGTTTAAATATCTTATATTGTTGCAGCACTGCTAAATTTTAAGATTTTTTGGCAAAGCAAATCTATTTTTCTCTATGAAACAAGCAAAGCTTTTGTGGTATACTATATAATCTGAGACAGGTTTGGGAAATTTGAGAATAACAAATTCACCAATATCTAATTAAAACATTGTCACTTGAAACTAGACTATGCATTAATGCAGTATTGGGAAATATTCAATGTTCAGGAATGATTATGTGCTTCCTATGATGAATTCAGAAAAGGTGCTAGTACTTACTACTGGTGAATAATACTCTCGTAACAAAAGCCCTGGGATTGCTAATGTTATTCAGTTGGGTCTGATTTTCAAGTGCATGATTTAACTCCAATCATAAGCTAGTCTGCAATTTAACAGTAAAAATAGTGCTTTCAATTCATTCAGTGCTATCCTCTTTGTTACATCTGTATTCATATTAATCATCCTGTATTTTCAATAGTTAATTTGTATATGAGCATGGTGCATCCAAATGGGGCAAATACTATAGATCAGGGGTGTCAAACATGCGGCCCCCCAGATGTTGCTGAACTACAACTCCCATGATTCCTTGGCTATCTGTTTCATTGAAAGAATCATGGGAGTTGTAGTTCAGCAACATCTGGGGGGCCGCATGTTTGACACCCCTGCTATAGATGGTACTGGATAAAACGGCCAACTTCCCCAATTTGACAAGATCAGTCCTTTAGTGTATTACTAGCATGCTGTGATCCAGTTAGTTCTTGTTAGCTCTCAGAGGGCTGTAGAATATATTATGATGAAATGTGGGTAGATAGAGTAGGAACCTAAGGCAAACTGCCAGGTTCTGACAATTTAAAATGGAAACATTGCTTGCCAGGATTTGTAATATTATGTTTGTGAACCCCCCCTCCAATCTATATTTAACATTTATGTGTTTGTGAAGTTTTAAAAATAAAACTATTTATTACTTTTTTATTTATTTTCTAAAGTGAGAATTCAAAGTAAATTTAAATAGTGTATCAAATGTAAGGCCTTAAATTGGAAATTCACTTTGAATGCACCTTGAAGTGTCAATAACCCTGTGAATGTAAAATTCCATGTGTCTATGTTTAATCTCTGTTTTAGAACTGAGCATCTCAATTTGGCTTTCTGTCAATCATAGCTATAAAACAGCCTTTGAACCTGGCAATGTTTACCTTGAAAGGTTAAACACACCTTCAGTAGGTGTTACACTGGAGGCGCTTCCATTGCACTGACTAAGTAAAGCTCAGTCACGTAAACCAGAAGTCCCCAAAGGAAAGCGTTGATTCAGTGCTTTCTTATGAGGAAGTTTAAATACACACACTGCACTCACCGCGCATGCACATTAGGACCCCAATTCTCCTCTTTGAGAAGCCTTGGATTGTATCACACCAGAGGAGGCACGTCTCCTCCATGATGTCTGTCACGGGAGGAGGGGAGGTAAGCAGTGCGGAGGGCTTTTGTTTTCCTTCTACTTGGTTTATGCATGCCGTAGCTGCAGGACTGGCCCAAGACATGGGCCCAAGGATGAAATTCTGCCTCTCCCCCACCTGCACCAAAATCAGGCGAACATCTATTATGTTATGCAGTGTGTATAGTGAATGCAATGTCTGTTTGTGTAGTGAATGCATAGTGTGTGTAAAGTGGATGCATTATATGTGTGTGTGTGTGTGTAGTGAATGCAGTTAGTGTGTTGGTGTGTGGTGGATGCAGTGTCTGTGTGTAGTGGAAGTAGTGTCTGTTTTTGTGCCATAGATGTAGTGTGTAATGTATGCAGTGTGTGTAGTGTATGCAGTGTCTGTGTCTGTGTAGTGAATGTAGTGTTTGTGTAATGGATGTAGTATGTATAGTATTGGATAAGTGCTCTGAGAGTGAGTAGTTTAAATTAAATTGGGCTTATCCTCCCCCTCCCTGCCTCTTACCTGTGGGCTGGAAGGGGAGGACAGTGTGTAGGAAGTTGAGAGTATATGGAGCGGTGTGTAGGAAGGTGACAGTATAACGGGTCAGTGTGTAGGAAGGTGATAGTGAGGGGGCAGTGAGTAGGAAGGTGACAGTATGGAGGGCAGAGTTAAGGACAGTGACGGTGAGGGGGCAATGTGTAAGAAGTTGACAGTGTGGAGGGCAGGGTGTAGGAAGGTGACAGCGCGTGGGGCGGACTGACAGCCAACATGCCCTCACTCATACACATACACTGATATACACTCACTGACAGACAGTCATTGTCTCACACACTGTTTAACCAACACTCATGTTCACTGACAGACAGACACTGACACAAGCACATTCTCAGATACACATGCACTCACTGACATAAACACACTCACTGACAGACACACACCTACTGGCAGATACACACTGATAGTCACACTCATTCAATGACACACAGATATCACTAACAGACACAGACTCTCCATGATTTGACACACACATTCATTGACAGACACACACACTCATTCACTGACAGACACACAAACACTCAATGACAAACACATACTCTCACTGACTTGACAGACACTCACAGACAAACATACAAATTCACTGACAGACACAGACAGACACACTCATTCACTGACACACATTCGCGCATTCACTAACAGACACACACATATTAACAATATTATTATTATTATTTTAAATATCGTTTGTCCACACACTCATTCACTGACAGACACACAGACACTCAATTAGAAGCACAGACTCTCACTGATTTGACAGACACTCACAGACAAACACATATAAATTCACTGACACTCACACATTGAGACACACATACATTAACAATATTATTATAATTATTTTAAATATAATTTGTCCATCTAGCCTCACTACCTTTGGGAGAGGTGCAGTGGGTTTGTCCCTGGGGTCCAGTGGGGCTACTGTGAGGCGGGCGGCTGTGAGCACATCAGTACTGGGAAGCAAGAGAGTGGTAATTCTCCTGCTCTGCTCCCTCACAGGCTCTCTTCTGATGATATTACTTTATATTCCGGCTCCCAGCATCAGTAGACGACACGCGAGGGAGCAGAGCAGGAGGATTACAGCTCCCTCGCTGCCTCTGATGAGCGCACACTGTCTGCCTCGGGGGTCCATAAGGTGCAGCATTTTATTGCCACCCCACAGATATGCTGCACAGTGCTGGCTGTACATATATCTCAAATATATATTGCTTTTTCCTAATATAAAATATTGGTCCTTTCAGAGTAAAACGTTTAATTATACAGTAAGCATACTCACATGCAGACACAGACAATCTCACTGACACACACAAGCTCATTGATACACAGCCTCATAGACAAACAATCTCACTGATATACATAAGCTCATAGACATAAAAACACAAGCTCACTCACGAGCAGGCACACACACACACACACATGCAAGCATGCTCACTCACTAGCAGGCGCACACAAACACACATAGCTTAATGTAGTGGTTCTGGTGTCTATTGCCTGTCCCTGCAGGCTTTTCAATGTAAACACTGACTTGTCAGAGAAAAGGCAGTGTTTACATTGCTTCCTAGTGACACCTCTAGTGACAGTCACTCAGACGGTCACTAGAGGTGCTTCCTGTGTCAGTGCTGCACAGTATGCAGCACCTACATTCAGGGCCTCCACGCTCTGGAGGCGCTGAACATTCCCCATAGAGATACATTAATTCCATGCATCTCTATAAGGAGATGCTGATTGGTGTAGCATTTTGCAGCCAATCCTATGGTAAAGCATTGGATTGGCTGAGATCATCAAGCTTGATTATCTCAGCCATAGAGACAGGGCCAGTCGAGGGGAGACCAGCACGACGTGGGAAAAAAAAGTGAGTAAAAACACTATTTTTAAACACACACAGACACACACATACACCATGACAGACACAGACACACACAAATACCATAACAGACACACACCCACACACCCCATGACACACACATATACCATGAAAGACACACACCATGACCAACACATACCATGACAGACACACACAGACCATGACAGACACACACACACTATGACACAGACACACACACACCATGACACAGACAGACACACTGAGCTGAGGGAATCTGGAAAAAGTTAAGTAAAAATCCTAATTTTGTAATTTTGACATTTTTATTTGACACATGGAGGGTGGAACCAATATAACAAGGGGCACTAAAGTGTTAGGAATCCTCATGTCCTATGTTTAGTACTGTTTGTGAATAGATTTCCACACAATGGTTTGTATTGGATGTATTTGTAAAATGTTATCATATCCCATCTGAGGCAATGTTTTTCTAAACTAAAGCGGTTTACATTTGTTAACCTTTCTTCATAGCTAAAATGTTCCATTCCTACATAATTTTGTAGACCACCTCTGCACTCTTTTCAGTGTCATAATATCCTTCTTTAGAACAGGTACCCAAAATTGCACAGCATATTCAAGATGTGGTCTTACCAGTGATTTATAAAAAGGCAAAATGGTATTCTCATCCTGAGAATCAATGCCCTTTTATTTATGAATGACGATACCTTACTGGCCTTAGGCACTGCTAATTGACATTGCACATTGTTGCCTAGTTTGTTGTCTATAACCATTCCATAATCCTTCTTGTGTGTTGTTATCCCTAATTCACTACTATTTAGGGTATAAATTGCTTGTGCATTCTTTACCCCAAAGTGCATAACTTTGCATTTTTCTACATTAGATTTCATCTGCCACTGAGTGCCCAGTACCCCAGTCTATCTAAATCCCTCTGCAGCAAAGTAATATCTTGCTTACATATTACTTTACAGCATTTTGTGTCTTCTGCAAACACTAAAACATGACTTTCAATGTTTTTTTAAGATCATTTATAAGCATGTTAAATAGAAGGGGTCCCAAACACCACTTACCACCTCTGTCCAGCTTGAAAATGTACCCTTAATGACAACTCTTTTCTCTATTTTTAAGCCAATGTTTTACCCAAAAACAAGAATTTTCATCAAGACCAATTTCATTGAGTCTAAACACTAATCTATTGTGTGGAACTGTATCAAACATCATGGCAAAATCCAAATAGATTACATCCACTGCAAAACCATGATCTATACTTCTACTTACTTCTTCATAGAATTAAAGTTAGTTTAGTTAGTTTAACATGACCTGTGCTTCATAAAACCATGCAGATGTTTGCTGATAGCCATGTTCTTCTCAATTAAATCTTGAATATTATCCCTAATTAACCTTTTAAATACCTTCCCAGCCACATAAATTAAGCTCACAGGTCTATAATTTCCAGGCAAGGATTTTGAACACCTTTTGAATATAGGAACCACATCTCCCTTTCTCCAATACTCCTATACAATTCCTGAGTAAAAAGAATCTTGAAAGATTAAAAACAGAGGTACACTTATTTCCACTCTTAGTTCCTTAAGTACTCGTGGATGAATACCGTCAGGCCCTGGAGTCTTGTTTATATTAACTTGCCTTAATTGCTGCAGAACCTTGTCTTGAGTCATCCAATCACAATTTTTCTGCAAGTTTTTTGTAGCAATAATTTGCATATCAATAGCCAGAGGTTATTCCTTACTATATACTGAGGAGAAGTAATAGTTATTTCAAATTTCTGCCATTCATAAACCAATCAACCATATATGTATTATTATTTTTTATTTT